CTCCAGCAAACAGCAACAAGCAACAAAAATCAACACAATTCAACAACAGCAACAACAACAACGACAACAACCAGACAAGGCCACGTAAAACCGAGCCATCGCCCAGCAGGCACCCAAAAATCCGATCAACTCCCTCTTCGCCGCTGCGTGCTACGGGAACCAGGGGGGGTAGATGTATGTGGGCACACCGCCGTGCGCGGCTCCCAGCTGGTGCTACAGCCGATTTGAGACCTGTCTTTGCAACGATCCGTTCGCGTGCTGTCCCTGCGAGTAGTACTCCTGAGCCACAAAACAGTCGACGAAGGAGGAGGGAGACACACATCGTTGTCGTTGCTCAGTACATGTGCATAGCACGAATCCAGCCCCACGGATGGCATGCATGAGGGTGCCCCAAAGGCCGAAACAAATCACGAAAACGTGGTACGTGGCATGACATAGTACATGGCAGCACGGGGCCGCCAGAGAGCGAGCGACCAACACAGAGGGTGCCATTATCCTGGCACACGGATAGTCAGATGCCACAGGAGAAATACGTACAAAAGTGGCGATGCGTTGTGCCATTCCCTCTTAACAAAATGTACAGCTCTCAGTCCGCGGGCTGGACCTGTGCGTCCAGTCACCTCCGCTTGCCCGCACCCCCCCCTAACGGGGGGGGCCGCGACCAGGAAGCATGCTTGCGCTTGTTGTATCGCGCCACCAAGACTCAAGGGTTTTCTCATCCGCCAAGTAGCGGCTGGCCGATACCAATTGGAGTGCAAAGATTCCAAAACACCGAGAAATTATGTTGCGTAGTAGGAGCCGGCAAGGCCAGCGCCACAACAGCAACAACAACATCACCAGCAGCTCAGACATCAACGGCAGCTCCATGATTGGCACCCTGTCCGGACGATGGCACCTTCCCCTACGCACGTCGAGACATCCGAAAACGGACTTCCTTCTTCGTTCACGCCCATGTGCGTGCGTTCTTGTGCATCTTCGTTCACATCACCCTATTGCTGTTTTCCATCGTGCATGTACACGATAGAATTTTTCTTGGATACATACATACATACATACATACATTTGATGACCTTTTTCTTCTCACCTTAATTCTGTCCTTCACGTCTGAGAAGGCCGACTTCATCTCTAGCCTGACCCGCGACGCGATGACGTGGACGTGGATGTTTTTTCGCGGGTTGTGCCGGTGGATCACATCCAGGAACCGCCTCTCTATCTCCGCCACCGCCTGGTGGACGTCTGACGCGTCGCTCCCCGCACCCGGCTGCACGCACGAAAAAAAAGAAAAAGAAAAAGAAGGGAATATATGAACATTTTCATTGTTTTTCCATCCTAAAAAGCATTTCCGGGGGGTAGGAGGTCCAATCCGTGGCCACACAGAACAGAACAATCCTCCCGAGAATAAAAACATTCGCAACACTTTTGGCATTTCACAGATAAGAGCAGTCTCATCGAAAAAATCGTGGTGCCAAGTGTTGTGAATGAAAACGCAAATCAATCTCGCAAAATACAAAATACGACACAGCACTGACCGCGGCTTGGACGTCCCACGCAAGGAGGTGAAACAAATACCACTCTTTGCATGGTCGTTGACAGAGAACCTCCTGCTAACGCTCTCGAGATGGTACTGTCAAAACAACCAGGAAACGATACAACAGCAAGTAAAACAAAACAACAACAGGACGGGCTGCTGCCCCACCAAACTCCACCCTAACGAACAACACCCGCCACCACGACCGTCGCCGAATTACGACTGGCTGCCGACTCACTCTGTAGTCCGGGAAGCAACGGGAAAGGGGGATTCCCTCCGTCATCATCTGCTCAAACAGGTCCTTCTTGTTGAGGAAAACGAAGATCGGCGTGTTTTCGAAGATCGGGTTCCGGACCACCTCCTCAAAGAGCTGCAGGCCCTCGTGCATGCTGCCGCCGCCAAAAAGAAGCAAGCCAGACATCGAGACGAGGCGCATTAAGTACACAATTCTGCCACCTGCCACCGGCGGTGTTAGGGCTAGACATCCCGCCCCCGGAGAATCAAAGGGCCACGATTTGAGGGTGATCTCGCTGCATCCAGGAGTTTGTCGTTTGTCACACGAACGTGCATCACATGTACGTAGACGATTCCAGCCACAAAGCTGCCTTCCAAGAACAGGACCTCGCTCGTAGCACAGGGCTGCGGTTTTGGTTGCAGCGCCGAGTTCTTGCTGAGCTATCTGGCGATGTCGAAAGTTTGGCCCAGAACATCACAGTTCCGATCAACATCACACAAACGTAGGACACCAATGCACCCCGTTGATTCTTATCTCGGCCTAGTAGTCGAGGATTGACAAGATATTACATACATACCCACCGGTACACAACACGCCATGCGTTGTAGTGGTGCCCCCCCCCAATCCCCCCCCCCCGGAGGCTGGGCATGCCACGCCCGACCAAGTCCCT